CAGTGTAGAGTTCAGGGTCCTCCACGATACTGTAATAAATCAGACAGACAGAGAGGCTAAGTAGTTGTAGGCCTGACCAATGGGTCATACCATTAAGGTCTGCGCTATTTTGGCGAATTTGACCATCATCGACACCAGAAATCATGTGTACATGCCCATACATCTCGACACTGAAATAGATGACAAGTTTTCGACGTTTTCAATTTATCAGCTTTAAAACTGCCATTAAATGATGTAAATCAATGCTTGCGTATAGCTCTCATCGCTTTGCGAAGAGCAAGACGGGTCACGTCCTCTGAGGTCATTCCACCGCTCAGCTATCAATGGATTCGACTTCAATGACCTAGTGACAAGAATGTGAAAGTGTGACAAGAGCGAGCTAGATTTTAAGAGGCTAACTGGGCTTCATGCATGGCATGCACGAATATGAGATACAGAATTACAATAAAAGAATGCATTAATAAAACAACAATTATTAAAAAAACGTATTACAGTAAATAAAATTGAGGGGGTCAAGTGTGGGTGTGGGGTGTAGCGGTTAGCATGGCTGCCTTCCAAGCAGTCGGTCCGGGTTCGACTCTTGGCGCGCGCAGCTCCCTTCCTTGGGCGGCGACTTTGCCCGCTTTTCCTTAAAAGTTTTTCGCATTATTTTCACATTAACGGCTATTTAAAGCAAATTTTATTGAGGGGTTTTGTTCGTATGTACTACTATTATAAATAAGTAGCAATGGGATGCACCTCCTGTAAAAGCCTAAATAGAAAAAAAAGCAATGGAAGAATACATTCCCTTGCAACTTTTTACTGCATTTTAATAATCCTATTTTGGGCAGCTTAATCAAAAGCTTAAAATACTACCCTGTAATGAAGCTGTATGTGAGTCACAAGAATTGTGAGCAATTCACCAAATGACTGACTGGACAATTCTGGGTGACTTTCGGTTTAACCAGCAATATTGACCTGTCGGAACGTGTAGACTCCTGAAAAATGCATTCAGGTGCTTACAAACACGCTGCACAATGGGTGGTTGTGATGCTAAAGTCCATCAGACTTCCTCCCCCCTCCTTATCGTGTTTAAAAGGTGGTCCGAGCAGGGCTGGACGGCGAAGCGAACCCCATCAGCTCCTTGTCAAGTGTGTCGTTCTAAGGCCTTTTAAAAGTGATGCCACGACGATATGTAGCACTTAGAAGTGGCTCTACAGAAAACAAGTTTCTGGTGTGGATTCATTCATGGATGCGGTGAGAATTCAGGTAGACCCTACATTTCACATTAGAGTAGAAAAATGCGTCTCTGTGTAGATTAAAGCCTTTCGAGGCTGACGAGCGAGTGATGCAGCAGTTTGTTTTTATGTAAATCAACTAAAAACGTCAAGGTGGATCCTGAGCTGAGGGGTGTCACATGCAACCTACCAAACACGGCGCCGTTTTCACCTACCTCACTTGCGAAAAAGAGGAAATTTCCTTATTTGATAGAGATTATTTCCAGGCTATTTCCAGGCTACTTCACACTTCTCAGGCACCACTTCCATTTCCAGAAGTCCATGCCTGCCTTCCGAGCTCGCGTGTGTGTGTCTGGTGACGCCTAAGACCCGTCTACTCCAAGATGGTTGGATATAACCTTAAAATGTCAAAGACCAACTTCTTCCACTTTTCCAAGGCATCGAAGGCCCCCATATCCGCCTCGGAGAAAGGAGTCATCGTCTTCTTTCTGTACTAGTCTTAACCACTCACTTGTTCCCATGTGAAATGAACAAGACAGTTGTGAAACGAAGGTTGGATAGAGGTGGATGTTGTTAGGGCCAGAGTTTTGACCTCTATAAAGATGTTTTACAAGTTTCCGTCTCGTTGACGAAGAATTATAGGCGGTAACTGTGATCATTTCAACCAATAATCCATTTTTGCCACTTTTTGTTATAAAAGCTCCCACGGATTCAATTGTTTACCTTGGAGTTTTCATCGCCACATTCGGTGACATTACCATCATGGCGTTTAAACCATTAATAATTATTGGTGTAATGATATTGTGTCTGTGCCCGTATCCCCTCAGGCCTTCTACACGTGAATAATAAACGTCCCTTTACACTACTCTATCACATTACACCTTTGGGTAAGGCTCGAAGTGGCAGAAGTCAGCAAACTCCGCCTTGAAGAGCAAAATTTGATTTCATTGGGTGCTGGACAAACCTAAACCTCACGGTAGAGGACTGTACGGAAGCTCACTACAGAAATTTGACTAACTTCATATCGTTTTCAAAATAGCCAATGGTGAAATATCACTAATGGAAAGCGGTTGATGTATAGGAAATGCTTGTCGTGGAATGTAGTTCTGTCTTTATTGCCCATGATCAGATAAATCCTCTCACATTTCGCTATCTTCAGGACTCTTAACCAGATCCTTATCACCTATAACCACCCACTGAGGGAAGGTGGTTTGCTTACAACAAAACTTTATCATTCCATTATTATTTCTGCCTTAAATTAATTCGACTTTAAAGGAAGACTTGTTGTGAATGAGGCTGAAGGAGAATAGGGACATGTAAAAAGAACTGAAACTTATGACAGCTGCACTTATTTCCTCTGTTTTCGCAATAATTGCCACCATTTGAGTGTTATGGTCTGTGGTAAAGATGCCTCAGACATCTCAGCTTGTAATAAGCCCACTGTAGTGTCCCTTATTGTTCATCTGGGCCCGTTTATACCATCTCGTTTTAGAAGTGATATTCCCCCGTTCCACAAGAATTTGCAGTCCCAGATAGACGACTGGTTGAAAAGAGGCCATTTTTAAAACTGAATTTAACAAAGAAACCGTTAATTGGAGTAAACAAGTTTAGATATTTTAGATCCCGAGATTAAAAAGGGGTTTGAAATTATACAAGTTCTTCTGGAGCACTAACATTAATCAATCTTGGTTAGTTTACACTCTGCCAGTACAACGCCAACCCATTTGTTTACGTAATTTTCAGGTCCGATTTAAAATTTATTAATAAATAATAGCCTAGGAGTAACAATTAGTAAAGAGCTTACGCAAAATAATAGTAAAGTCCTAGATATGACACATCAGTCTGCCCAATACGGCACTCTTTGTTGTTTGCCTACTCATTATCTTTGGTAGTAGTATCTGACCCTAACGTCAGAAGACAAACAAATATGTGATTTAACTGTCAGTTAGACAGTGTAGACAGTAATAAATAAACCACTTTGTCTAAGACATTATGGGTCGGTAGCAACGTGTTATTTTACACAGGATTTGAGTTTTTAAAGGAAAACAGAGCTTGGCTTCTCCTTCTCGGGATGGATGGGTACTTATCAACCGGGAGGATGGCCTGATCTACTCGGCTGTTACCTAACTGGCATATTTTAAATGGTAATGTAGCATATGGGTTACAGAAACAACCATGGAATGAGGTAAGGCCTATACGGGTAGATGTAGTATTCATCCGTTAAATTCAATTTGACATCTTGGGTAGATTAATAAATTCTAGAAACTGTTGAGTTAACTTTCATGAAATTTTGGCGAAATTTGCTACAATAATGCACACACAAGGTGAATGTAGTCTTCTATGGTGAGGTGATGTGTGCCCTAGACTTGTGAAGAGAGTAGTGAATTGTTGGGAGATAACCAACGACATCAAAAGGCAATTCTTTACCAATAGTCAATCATTTGACAGACTCCAAGCTTGGGTAGCATGCCCAGATAAAATGAAGTAGAGCAAGTCGGCAGCCTGTTCTCCTCATCGTCATTTGTCAGTGCATATCATGTGCCATCAACCGGTCTGACACAACACTAAATCCGTAATGAATCACATCACAAGTTTTGAGTGATCACAGATTGTAAGCATGCATGTCGGTAGCAAATCAATTAGCCAAATAAAACCTTTGAAACCTGTCGTGATTATTTTGATCCAAAAGAGGTTTTAATTTTTTCAATGGACACTAAAATAGATGTACCTCTCTAACTAAAAACCTTATTTACTTTGATATGAATTTTTCCCTATTTATTTAATAAGAACAGGAAATGAGCTTAAAAAATCCAGACTTTCCCTACTACAGGCGTTTAAATTTCCTTAACGTAAACATTTATTCTGCGGGTTGGCCTTAGGGTAACGCTAAAGGCACTGGGGATCTACTCAACGTTAGTAAGTAGTATGCTCTTCTACACAGTTTTGGTTTACCTCGACCTTATCAACCGATCCATTCTAATGAAAGGACTTCTCGCATTCACTGCAGAAAAACTTGCATATTCATGGCATCTAAAAATCCTCCGCTCTAGTGTGATTTGTTTGTTGATGACTGCAAGAAACTTTCCCATACTGGACCAAGTTACAGAGTGATGAAGCTTTAAAATTAGAGAGAACTTGTTTGCATGAATATACCTTTTAAAGGACAAGGAGGCAGATTAAACTAGCCTCATTACTAAGAAGGAGACATAAGTCTTCAAAGAGGCTGCAAACTCTGATTGTCCGTGGGTTGAAGGATTTGTTAATATGGGTAAGCCGTCGGTGAATTGTCGTTGCATATCACTATATGATCCAAAGTACTAAGAGCGTACTTTTCAAACGATTCCTCAACTTGTTTCAGCATCCGCTCCCTCTCTGCTAGTCAAAAGTGGAGCGCTATCATGGCAAGTAGCAGAAGAAAATTTTTTGGAATCACCAACAGCAAAGAATAACTGCGTCCACGGTTACTCCAGAAGGGTAAATCTTAAATGCAAAATCCTAGAAGATTAATTACCTAGTATCCAAGATCAAAGGTTCACTCGTTAACTTAGCGCTTACAGAAATGGGTACCGAGGCGACGACCCAGGAATCACCAAGGCTGGGACGGTCATTGACAAATGTATATGCATCTACCCTACTAAATCAAACGTTTTACTAACGCTGAGTGCCCTCTCGCATCCTACTCACAGTGTATGAGGACTGTGTTGTAGTAAAGTGGGAGCTCTATCACCCACCAAATGCTGCTAGAAGAGTCTGTAAACTATTACTCCTGCCTAGCATCCTGAGAAAAGATGTTTCGAGTAGCCCACGACAAGTGTCAGGCAAAAATTTTTACTCGCAGCCGCTTGCGATGCCACAATAATAGAATTATTCGTTTTAATAGACGGTATAACAAGTTCCCGGCAGAAATAAATGTCCTTCCAAATAATGCGGAATAAAATTTAAGGGTGAGCACAGCGACTAGAGCAGATGGAAATGGGAGAAAAGATAAATGGTAGCTTAAGCATTACGTTGTGCTGTCCGAATGCAGCTGGAAAACGATTTTCTTTTGCACCGAATTTTCATTTGACTCAACTCCAACAGGATAAGTAAATTTACTCGTCTCTTAAAAATATGTATTCTGCGTGTTTTCTGAAAACCATATGAAGGCTAAGTATTTTATTCTAAGGCCTGAAATTTTAACGCTTTAATTTACTTATGAAGTTAGATATAAGTTAAAAATGGCAACTTTGGGTTACTTTAATATAAAGCAGAAAAAACAGAAAGTTTCTAGTACCAAAGGCTTTATGCATATTAATTTAGTAACTTGTCCGTGTGCTTAGGAATACAGGCTTTCGGATCTCTTTACACTGTGCTTTTCTTTTGGGGATGTGATCATTCGTCCAAATTTCCTCTAGGAAGTGTTAGGGTGCTACAAATTTAAAATGAAGTTTCCGATTGCATATGAACAAAGACAAACAATATTTGTGCAGGCTTAATTCGAGCGGCTTATTGTAATACGATGGTGGTTTATCCCCCAGCATTGGTGAGGCGGCACTTTTGTACTTTTGAATTAGCATTCGTGTACCTCGCTGAGTAGGCTGGCCTTCGGGCCAGACCAGTTGTCCAGGCACCTTCTCTGTGCTAAATACATATATTCTGCCCGAGTATTGTGTCCTCTTTCGTCTTCAGGGAAGTCTCCGGACGCTACGGTGTTATGGAATCTCTCTGGGAATGCACGGGTTTCGCGGGTAAAATTTGGGTTGTTGACCGAAGCTTATTCGTGTAGTTAGCTTAATAAAGTGGCGACATTAACAATAGGATTTTGCCTGGGTGAGTAATAACCTAGGGAATTTACTTTTCCTTACTTCAAAAATAATCCAAATATCTCCGTAAATAACAGACACACATCTACACAATCTATAATATTTACAAGTTGCATATCATACTTTTGTACATTTTGTTAGTTATAAATTCTTAGTCAAGCGATCTTCCCATCAAACCATTTTTTAGACTGAGTGCTTAATTTAGAGAATTAAACCCTAAATAACAATACAACTAAAAGACATCTTTTCTGGTTCATAAATAAGTTAATTCTAGACATCTACTCTTAATGTAAGTGAGAAATGAGTTGAAATGAAATAAGATGAATGAATTGTTGACTAATAGAATGCTTAAGAGGGTGATTTTGGTTTGTCAATGAACTGCACCAAAATTAAAAATATATTTCACTTTGTCAAAGAATAAGGAAAATGGATTTGCTTTGTTTTGAAACAATGGCTGCGGTTTGCGTTTTACTGAATCACTATTAGTAACTTAAAGGTTGGTATTTACTTCATAACTCCTGTCTTCGCTTTCGTCGAAGTTCGTGGTGCTTTGTGTTTCGTTCGTGGTTCGTGTGCTTTGTTGTTAAAAATCATTTCCTTTTATCCATTTTTTTTTCAGATGGCGTCCCCATTTACCTTTCTTATGGTCTTATCGACCCCAAGTACTCTATTCCGGCATTGGACTCTGGTCCTCTCCGTGGTTACACTTCTCTATAGTAGCTTTCTTGGACCACTGCCAGTTGTGGGAGAACCAGCTCTGATATTGCATTCTATGCCAAACCATTTTCCTATCGGCCCCATTTCTAATGAAACTGCCGCTATCAAGACCTTGGATGATCCTACTTTTGTAGACAATCCTCTTGTTACCATACCGTTGCCAAATGTGGGTTGATAATTTTAATACATACTTATTTTGGGTTTGGTTTGATTAAGAGCACATTCTAAGCAGGTTTTATCCTTTTAGCTTCCGAATATTGAAAAATCTACTGCGCTTCTGACAATTGCATCTCAGAATGATTCCAGATTTGAATCATTTTTGCTTCGAATAACAAGTGAAAGTGGGGAAAAATATCGCAACCTAATGGAAGGTGAGTTTTAGAACGCGCTAGTTTACACCGTATGCTTTTATGCCTTTACTCATAAGGTGTTCTCTCTTTTTTAAGTTATAATCTTCGCATTTTTGGGAGTAACTGTTACCAATCTCTGTGCGGTAACAGGTTTTATTTGCATCCCCATCCAACGTTCAAAGTATTTCAACAGTTTTATTAACTTTATGTTGGCACTGGCAGTTAGCGCCCTCTTTTCTACAGCTATTCTGGTTCTACTTCCAGAGGTAGGCTTCTCCAGTCATTTGTTTGAACTATTTTTTTGTCTTCTCCGATAAGTAACTTGGGTTTTTAGGCAATGCGAATGGCAGATATGCCTCTGGAATTTGGTGGTCAGGGTCATTCCTATCTCCTGAAATTAAGTTGTGTTCCTACTAGTCTTCTTATCTTTTTCTGCATCGAATACATCCTCCTCATTTTGCCTCGATTGTCAAAGGTAGAATCTGTACCTCTTCTTGTTTTCAAGCTGACAACGTGTTCATTCTTCATTTATTCTTCCATCATTTTAGCTGCACATATCCTCAAATAACAGGTCCGATACTTCTCAAGAGTCCACAGTCAGCGTGAGTACTTCTTGTTTTTGTTACACAAATTGCATCAACACTAGCGAGGCTTACACATCGTGAATTACCTTCTCCTAGCTCGAGAATCCCGTGTTTTTGGGAAGCGGCGATTCAGTGGAATCTCAATCAACCACATATTCTACGCAACCCAGTTCGAGCTGTATGGACTTCACTGTCAAGAGTTTAGTCAAAATCGCTCCGATGGCTTGGATGGTTCTTCTGGGTGACTCCATCCACAACTTTATGGATGGAATGGCCATCGCTGTGGGTTTCACTGAAAGTCCCACCGTCGGTATTGCCATCTGCTTGTGCATCCTCTTCGAAGAGCTTCCTCATGAACTTGGTAATTTGAAAACGTTTCTTTGAAGCCACCTGTGATATTGTAGTTTAAGGCTGATTTTACTACTTACCTTGTAGGTGACTTTGCTGTCCTCATCGCTTCCGGTTTCTCTATTAAATCGGCTCTCTGTGCTAACTTTACTTCTGCCTGCACTGCCTATCTAGGACTTACCATTGGTCTAATAATTGGTGAGATGTCTTCTGGTGCCCTGTATGTTTTTGCAGCGACCTCTGGCGTCTTTCTGTACATCAGTCTTTCGGACATGGTAGGTCTTAGCTATTGAATTAGCCCAATGTTTTGATTAGGTTATTATCTTGATGCCACCTTTTTTCAATTCTTATAGTTGCCCTCTATTCGTGAGACGCTGAAAGAGGCAGAAAAGAAGTCTGGGTCATCTTTAAGACTGTTCGTGATTCAAATTTCTGGTTTAATCGCCGGCTACGCGTGTGTCCTTGGTGTGATTTGTGCGAGTGACTATATCGCTTTTTAATGGCTGTGAACTTTTCTTAGCTGTAGACCTTCCCATCTTTGTTATCTATGGGTAGGAAAAATACCTAACTGTTACATTCTGCTTCGCCTTTTTTCATTTTTACCCCGTAAGTAGTGAACTCTGGTTTACACCTTTTATATGTAAGATTTGGGGTGCAATGTGGTGGTCAGCTTAATGGTAGAAGGTGTCTCATGCTCTAGTTGATTAATAAACTGAATTTTCAATTGTTGGAGGATATTGGAATTACTTTTTGATTGACCAGGAATCTGTCCTATGTGTGGTGTCGTGTGTGGGTCTCATGACAGCGTGACCGCAACTATACATATGTCAGTTCAAATTAGGCCACACAATATAAAATTATTTTGACAGATTGTGAAAACAATGTAGCTGTTAATTAGGGGTTGAAAATAAAAAAATTGCATTATATTTTTGAGTCATTAGAAGGATTAACCTCCAGATTCTCACGTCTGACGCATCTAACACTGGCGCAGTTAGGACCTAATTTGACCATTTTGAAGAGAGAATCTTGCTGGAGATGCTCCTTCTACGATTCCCTAGGAGGTCCCGTTTCCGCTACTGATTTTCAAACCTTCCAGAGTGTCGAGTTCTCTCTCGGTCCCTCCTAAAAAGCCGACATTGAGCGCAGTTGTGGTTGAAGTGGGTTAATGTTGACTATGGGGACCAAGGCAGATCATATGCTGGAAATACGTGGGTCTGAGACCACTGCGGGTCTCCGACATCATCCACCAATCAGTCGCCAATCACGTACGTACACGTCATACCATTTGTTTACCCCGTACCCCGTTGACGGATATAACATCTCCATCGAAGGTTTGTCTGCTATTTATCTTGTCTACAATGTCAGTGCTTTCAACGCAACCATGTTTACAACACAAGCCTTGGAAGCATGTCATGTTTTGCCATCATCGTCGGAGTTCTTTAGCTAGTTGATGCTTTGCTCAGTTGTGTTTCGAATAAGCGGGTGCTTAGATCTCCGCATGTTGCAATTACGCCTTGAAGCATGGCCTTCGAGTCGTGCTAATGGCCTTTTATGAAGTGATGTGCGTGATACTCTCGTTGTGGAACATCATCCAGTAGCGATTTGCTTTTTGCAGAGCCTACGCTTGAAGGAGCTGCATATAGCTCTGTTCAGATGAGAGGTTATTCTGACTTCACATGGTACCACAACACCACAGAAGTATATTGTTTATTCCCCCTGAACTTTATTCACCCAGAATTGCCTGATCGTTTAAAGCCCTTCGTCATGGGACTAAGTAACTGCATAAAGAACGTTTGAAAAGCCACTTACCTCGGAGCGTCACTAAACAGTGTTGACATCCAACGACACTGATGCCCCAAACTTTTCATAATTTCTTATAAAAACACATTTAAGGTGTTAGCATCACAAAATCTCGTTCTCGCCCTGAGAGGCTGTAGAAAAGACGGTTTGGAGGTCCACAAGACATTCGTTTATTCCATATCCACTATTTTATATTC